TGCAGCACTTGGGGGATATTTGGGGGTTTTGGGGGAATGATTCTCCACCGAGTCTCTCTGTTGTTTGGTGAAGAAAAAAGGCAATTTAAATACATTATCTAATTATTTCTGATTACTCCTGGGGGAGCTCTGATGGCAGCATCTTGTTCTAGGTCGATGCTTTTTCCTTTGTTGCTGTCGCCTTGCCCTGACCTTTCAGGCCTCGGAGCAGGGAATTAGTTTGGAAAAGAGCAAACCTGCTTTTTTCTCTCCCCCAAAGCAGATGAATGCAGAAACTGAGAATTCCCAAACTCTCCTGGAAGTTGTCTCAAATAACAGCTGCATTTTTTATGAACATCTTGTGACAAAGGCTATGACTTTACAAAAATCAGGCAGATGTACAAATTATCCCCCCGTATCCACGAGCAGGAAAAAGAGGCTGCCATCAGAAAACAAAATGTTGTTTTGCTTGAATGGTCACATATGTAAAATGATCATGGTGGGGGATGTTTGTCTGGTTTTAATCCAGTTTTATCCAAGTTTTCCCATTTGGAGATGTCCAGTTGATGATCTGTCACCTGTAGGACACTCCAGCCCAGAGGGGAGTGGATTTTTTGGGGTGATGCTCATGCTGGGGGCTCCTCCTGCACCTTGGGACACAGCTCAGCTTGAGAGATGAGACTGGAAAAATACAGTTTACATCTGTAATTGCAAAGGTCATTCCTCCTGCAGCACAGCTCTTCCTGTGTCAGATGGGCTGAAGCCATTTCCAACCCTTCAAAATTCACTTGCTGCTCTATTTAAAAGAAAAATGATCATATTTAATAGAGGAATTTTAAAGATAGAAATTATCAAGCTTTATTGCATTTGCTGTCTAATCACAGTGGCTTTTCATGGCTGTTGTTTTTAGGGAACATGAGGTTTAGTGGTGAGAAGCTTCTCCTGGGCTTTCAAGACTGTTTTATTTTATTTCTTCATGATTTGGGGTTGTTGGTGGTTTGGGGTTGGATTTTGGGAAGCTTTTTTATATATTCTGGTCATAAAAAGGAAGGGGCAGAGGGAGGAAGAAGAAATTCCAGCAGTCCTGGCTGATGGTTTGTTGGGGTGGTTTGGGCTTTTGCAGCTTCTTTGGGTGGCTTTCTAAACTAAACACTGTGGCTTCCCCCCATTTCCCTGAGAGCTGCATTTTGGGAGGGACCAATTGTGTGGAACATCTTGGTTCAAACTCTCCTGCGAGGTTTTAGCTGAGATTTGCCAGGTTTGGGATGCTGGGACACTTTGTTGCTTCTCTGTGGCTTAAACATACCCTAAACCAGCACATTTTGGTGTTTTTAGGGAGAGACAGGGATTGCTCCTGACAAGCCTGTTTGTTTATAGAGCAAATTCTAATATTAATAATTGATATTTATTTTAAGTTTGGCTTGTTCTGTGCTACTGAGCTGTCCTTGGCTGGTCCCACTCATCCTGCCCTGCTGGGTCCAAGGAGGTCCATCCAAGGCCTCCCTGGTGTCTTCTCCAGCTCTGAGGGAGCCCTTCCTGGAAGAAAAGAGGAGGAAATCCTTCTCCACCCGCGTTCTTCCCATCACCTTGGATGGGGCTTCCTCAGGTGCCTGAGCAGTGATGTTTTTTCTGTAACTCAGGTTTTTCTCAGTAATTTTCACAGATCCAGAGTGGATCTTCATTTGCCAGGGCAGATTCCATCATATCTCCAGCAGAGATGGGTGGTGTCGTGGTTGGGAGAGGTTTTGGGCTCTCGGGTGTGGTTGTGGTGGTGTCATCCCTGATCTCCTCACGGGATGTCACCTTGGTCCCCTCCCAGCGCCTTCACCTCCTCACCAGCGCTCAGCAGAGACCCCAGTGAGCTCCTGAGGGGTTTGGATGAGTGTGTTGAGCATTCCCAAGGCAGGGAATGGTGTGGGAGCAGCGTGGCTCTCCGGGCTCCGTCAGGCTGCAGGTCCTGTGGGATCCAGGGCAGCCGTGTCAGAGGGGTTTGCTCGCTTCCCTGCCCCAGACTTGAACTTAATGCACCAAACATCCCTTTGGATGTGGAAGTGGAGCTGTGAGCAGGATCAGGAGGGAAGGGTCAGGCTGGAGCATCACCAGCCCTGTGCTCCCTGCAGTTATCCTGCTCTAGGGATGGCCTCACCTCTCATCCCCGGAATTTTAACTGTGTGTGACCGTCCGTGCGCAGCAATTGAACCAAATCCGAGGCCAATGGCACAAGGGAAAACGCTCAGGGCAAGGGAGAAATAAGCAAAGGGAGGCCCCACCCTCTTTCCCAGAAAAAAGCACCAAACATGCTCAATAAATGCGAAGGTAATTTAAAATCTGAATCCAGGAGACAATGTGACTGGGATTTCATTACTTAAGCAAATGGATTTGCTTTTAGTGGATTCAGCCACAGACTGAAAGAAGCTTTCCCCAAGGGGTAAACATTTTTCCTGCATTTGAAAGGCTTTCTTGTATTGGTGGGGGGAAGGATCTGGGGGGCAGGAAGCAGGACTGTGGCTGCCCAAGGAGCACCTTTATTTTGGGCAGATTTGGGCTTTGCCAAAGCTGTGCTTTTGGGCAGGTGCTTTTGGGGAGCACTTGGGGTGGGATGCTGGGCCAGGTGGGAGGATGCTGGATCAGGCAGGAGCATGTTGGGGGTCATGTAGAGGTTGTTGAGGGGATGCAGAGGATGCTGGAGGGGATGCAGGGGTTATTGAGTGGATGCAGGGGTTATTGAGGGGATGCAGAGGTTATTGAGGGGATGCAGAGGATGCTGGAGGGGAGGCAGAGGATGTTGGGGTGGATGCTGGGGACATGCTAAGGATGCTGGAGGGATGCAGGAGGATGCTGGGGATGTGGGGGTAATGCAGGAGAATGTTGAGGGCATGCTGGGGGCTGTGAGGGGATGCAGGAGGATGCTCAGGATGCAGGGGGATGCTCAGGGATGCAGGAGGGGATACAGGGGATGCTGGGGGTACAGGAGGATGCTGGGGGGGTGCAGGGGATGCTCTACACCCCTGCTCCGTGCCTTCCCCTGGCCGCAGGAGTTAACCAGCAGCAGTGCCAGCTCTGCAGACTGTTTGGAATAGTTTAAATGCTTTGACACTCTGGATGTACTAGATGGCAGGGGAGGCAGTTTACAGCGTAATTCATATGCAAAACTGCACTATAAATTTAAAACCTGTCTCAGTTGCCGTGGCACCACTAAGCATTTCATCAGCATACAGTACAGTATTTCTGCCATCTTTGTTTGCATTGCAGTGACTCATCAAAAGTCTGTCTTGTACCAACACTGAGAGCATTCCTCTGGCACTGATATTTCTCTGTTTTTAAAGCTTCGGTTTGAAACTGGCATTTACTTCAGGTCCCTAATCAAAGGGCTCTATTCATTGCAGAGAGCAGCCTGAATGTTAATCTGCATCCGGCCTATTCATTTAGATGCTGTGCGCTGCCGGGGAGATTTGACTTGGTAAAAGCTTGAGCTCCAGCAGATACAAACCCAGGGCTTGATACTATATTTTATTTTCCCCCTCCCCTGAGCACTCGGCGGTCGGGGGACGGGAGCCCCTCGGCAGCGGCGGCGCCGGGGACGCTGCTCAAGGTACGTTCGCTCCCGGCCAGGCGAAGGCACCGCGAACTTCCTCGCTTGGAAGAATTTTTTTTTTAACCATGCAGATACAATTAAATTGGCTCCGAGTGTGTTCCCTTTTCTTCCTGTTACCCCGTGGCCTTGCAGATAGGACTTTTTTTTTTTTTTTTTCCTTTTTTTTTTTTTTCCCCTCGGCAATGGGAACAGAGCAGCTCTTTGTGGGTTATTATTTTCTTTCTTTTTTTTTTTTTTTAATCTTTTTCTGATAAAATTCTTTATTTTTTTTTTTTGTTTTTTTTTTTTTTTTTTTTTTTAATATCATTCTTCTGAGCTTTCAGTATTAGTTAAACGTAGTTTTTCTTCAGTAGTATTACAGGCAGGCAGGATTTTAAATCTCCTGGACTCTTTGGGGAGGGAGCACGGGGGGGTCTGGGCTCGGTGAATCCGCAGTGATTTGCTCCGCTGGAGTTTCAGCGCCCAGGCTGCACCAGCGCTACCTGCTCCGGCTTTGCGCACCAGGTCCTCCCAAGGCCAGGCTCTTTTTTCCTGGGAGGTGGAAGCAGGAATTCTGCCCACGGCCAAAAGGTACAGCCGGTCCTGAAGAGCGGCCGTGGTGGGATGCGGAGCCGCCGCCTCCAGCCCGGGGTCGCTCCGAGGGTCCTCACCGCCGGTACCGGGGGCACCGGGCTGGGGGCTGGGGGCTCTGCCTGCACCAGGGGCTGGGCTGGGGCTCCCCCTGCCCTGCTCGGGATCTGGGGGAGGAAAATAAGAAGACAACTTGGTAGGCGGCTCGCTGCGGCAGGCACGTTGGTTTGTTTTATTGGGGCTCAAATATCTGGCTTAATTTGGAGATAAGCCTCGTTTTGTTGGAGGATAAATCTGTTGAGAAGGGGTTTAACTGTTGAAATGCTCCCTCTTTCTGGTGCAAATGGGAAGATTGCTTTTCAAAGTGCTTTTTCCTGGGAGCTCTCGCTCCAGCAGAATCCTGTATTTATTTCGGGCAGAATGGCACATTGTTTTATAAATATCTTTTCTGTAGTTTCAACATAGCTGCTGGTTGTTGTGTTTCTTATATAATACTACCGAGATCTGTCTGACTGCCTTTCGTTTGCTTTACTGTTCTCTCCCATTATCGTTCAGATTTTCCTGCATAAAGTAAAAACCCCTGGGGGAATAAATCAGTGGTGCTTATTTAAACAGACCACATTGAAGGAAATACTTGCATTTTTGGGATATCCTTTGCCATCCACCAATAGCATCCCCAACGTCGCTGGAAACCATCGATAAGCAATTTTTACAGGCGATCGCTTTTCCGCGTTGGCTCTCGGAGCTTGGCTTGGAGCCTTTGATGTCGGGTGAGGTGGGCTCCTGTGCTCCTGCCTGCTTTGGTGAACTGTCTAAAAACGTTGTTCCTCTCTTCCCTGCCTTCTCCGTTTTTCAGATGTGCCCTACTTTGGATATTCCTGCATTGAATGTCTGAGGAGCTCCAGCCGATCCTGAGCCATGTCGCAGATGTTGCACATAGAGATTCCCAACTTCGGGAACACCGTTCTGGGCTGCCTGAACGAGCAGCGGCTGCTGGGGCTGTACTGCGATGTCTCCATCGTGGTGAAGGGCCAAGCCTTCAAGGCTCACCGGGCTGTGCTGGCCGCCAGCAGCCTCTACTTCCGAGACTTGTTCAGTGGGAACAGCAAAAACGCCTTTGAGCTGCCGGGGACCGTCCCCCCCGCTTGCTTCCAGCAGATCCTGTCCTTCTGCTACACCGGCAAGCTGACCATGGCGGCGAGCGAGCAGCTGGTGGTGATGTACACGGCGGGCTTCCTGCAGATCCAGCACATCGTGGAGAAAGGGACGGACTTGATGTTCAAGGTCAGCTCTCCCCACTGTGACTCTCAGACCACCATGATCGAAGACCCCAGCTCGGAGCCGCAGAGCCCCTGCAACCAGCTGCAGTCGGCCTCGGCGCCCTACGTCATGTCCCCCTCCATGCCCATCCCGCTCCTCACGCGCGTCAAACACGAGAACCTGGAGCTGCAGGCCCTGCCCGGCCTGCCCGGCAAGCGGCCCCTGGAGCCCGGCGCGCGGGACGGGCCCGGCGGCGCCGGCGGCGCCAACGCGGGGCCCCTGAAGCTGTCGCGCGTCTCCTACTACGGGATGCCCAACCTGGCCACCCTGATCCCCAACGTGCAGCAGGTGCAGTACTCGCAGGGGGAGCGCACCAGCCCCGGCGCCAGCAGCATCCCCACCACCGACAGCCCCACCTCCTACCACAACGAGGAGGATGAGGAGGACGACGAGGCCTACGACACCATGGTGGAGGAGCAGTACGGGCAGATGTACATCAAGTCCTCGGGAGGTTACTCTGGTAACGGATGTCTCTCTCTCTCTCCTTGGGTTTTCTGCTCCTTCTCAGTGGTTCTGTGGTCCTCATCCAGCCACCATGGGCAGTTTTGGGTTGTTCACCAGGCTTTTGTCTTCAGGGGTTTCATTTGTTGGTTTTTCGCTCGCGTGGTGCTGGTGTCCAGGTGTGACGAGGGCAGGGCCCCCCTGTGCCATCGCTCCCCAGCTGGGAGACTTCAGATGAGAGGCTGCATCATGCACCAGGGTCAGCTCAGCCCTTTGCTTTCTGGCTGAGGCTGCCAGCCAGGAGCCTGGTGGCTGCATGAGCCCTGTGGTGGTGACATCCATCCCAAGGTGATGCCGAGCTCACCTGCCATGGGTCATCCACGGCAAGGGAAGCACCAGCCCTTGTGGCCCAGCGCGAGGTGGTCACTTTGGGAGTTGTCTTCTGTCCTGGCTTTTTGGAATAAGAGTTTCCAAAAAAGTGGTGAACATGTGATGTTTGGAGGAAGGGAGAAGAACATCAACTAAATCATTTTTATAGAAGTTAACTCGGAATATCTGCAGGAGGAAGGGAAGATGGACTTTTCTCCCCACTGCCTGAAGTGCCCCTCTCTCCTTTGCCAGCCTTGTCCCACACATCACTGTCAGAAAGGGAAAAGCAATCTGAAGGCCTGATATTCTTTTATTTCCCCATTAGAAACACAGTGCCCAGAACTAAGTAAAATCCCTCTCCTGCCCTTCCAGAATCTGGGATTAAGGGATGAATGCGAATCCCTCGATGGACCTCAGACAAAGGAGGTGGCTTCACTTTGGTGCTGTTGGCTGGGAGCTGCTGCTCAGCCCCAAGGTGAAGCACAGGGACATGAGAGGTCCTTTCCCTCCACTTCCTTGGACACACAGCCCTTTTCCCTGGGCAGGGCTCAGACCCTCCTGAGGAGCCAGGACAGGTGGGATGTGGATCCAGGAGCTCAGTTCCAGAGGGGAGATGCCCACTGGGTGCTGTCCTGTGTGCATCCCGTGTGAAAGCAGCTCTAGCACCCCTCACAGATGGAGCTGGCAGCATCCCACTTGGAAGCTCAGCCTCCCTGTGGGAGCTGCAGGTGTTTGTGGCAGCAGCTTTGATCCTCAGGAGCTCCCCAGGGAGGGACATCTTCCGGCCAGCTCCGGCCGCACGCAGCATCCCCTCGCCTGGAGCTGCTTCCCTGCTCTGGCTCCTGGAATTGCTGCACTAATGTTGCAAATATTTTAACTCTAGTTCATTAATGAGCTTTCCTCAAAGCCATTTGATTTTAGTCTTCACCAAGGAACAAGATTTGGCAAATAGGACAATTTTTGTTACCTAAAGCCAGGCTTCCTTAGTACTGAAAATGGGCTCAGCCCCACAAACTGTCCCATCCCATCCCATCCCATCCCATCCCAGGAACAGGAGCTCAGCATCCTCTTGGCACATTCCCCCGCTAGTCAGCGAGCAGATAAGCCATGTTTTGAAGGTTTTTTTTCACCCAGCCATATGAAAAATGGGGAAAACACAGAGAAGTTACTATTTTAATATTAGAAATATTTGCTAGGAAGAGTGGACAAGCAGTTGTTGGAAATGAGCCTCTAAAGCCTGAGTGCTCTCTCTGCCGTGCTTCACGTTCCAGTGGTTGGGATGGGGCAGGAGAGGAGTGGGATTGGGGGGGGACAAGGTCAGGGTCTCCTCCATGGCTGCTGTTAGAGCCAGAGTGAACAGGAATTGTGCTGTTGCCCACTTGTTTTGGGTTGATTTTGCTTTTCCCTGCCGTAGAGCCTGTGGTGAGTAATGTGGGTTTGCCTTCAGCGTTACTCCTCGGAGCAGTGGGATTATGCCCTTGGACTGTGCTTTCCATCCCTGTCACAGGGCCAGTTCCTGCAGAAACAGAACAAAACCAAGTCAGAAGGCAAGGACAGGAGCAGCCCCGGGATGGTGCAGGCAGCAGCTCTGAGGCTCTCCCTAATCCTTGTCGGGCAGGAATCCTCCCAGTCGGAAAAGCAAAAATCCGAGCAGCTTTCTCAGGTGTCACTGGAGGTGCTGCAGCCCTTGTGCCAGAGCTGGGCATCCCACAGCCAGGTTTTCCTGCTTGTTTTCTGTAGGGAGAACCAGGTGGTGATGCCGAGGCCATGCAGGGAAGAGGCAGGTTGTAAGGCTCTAAATATCCCACACTTCTGCTGAAACTCCTCTTCCGCACCTGCACCTTTGGAGGGAATTTCCTGTTTGAAATAAGCCAGCTATAGGTATCAGGCATCCTGGAAAAGAGGGCACGTGAAAAAGAGATTACAAAAAGTAAAACCTAAGCTGTTCCATTATGGTTTGGACTTGTAGAGCTAACTGTGTTTTAATTACTCGGGATAAAGTGTACCCTCTGAAAAGGTGCAGAATAATGAAAGCGTAAGATGGAAGAGAGAAGGCAGCTAATCCTGCTCCTGGCATGGAGATCCCGACAGCCTCACAAAGGCCTGGGGGAGGGGGGAGCCCTTTAAAATAGGGATTGCCAAGGTTTCCAAGAGCCCAGTTTGTGAAAACAAAAACGAAGCCAAAGAGGAGCAGAGCAGATGAAGCCCTGAATTTCAGAGAAGGTTGCTGGGTTTTTTTCCTTCTTTCTTTCTGTTTTTTTGTTCCGCATCTGAAGTGTTGAGGCTGGCGAGGGTGTGGTGGGACACTGGTGGATGATGCTCTTCACCTGCCTTCAGCACCACCCGGCGCCGTTGGAAGGGTCACCAAGGTCAGCCTTGTCCCAAGGCCGGGGGTTTTTAATTTATTTTCTTCACCCCTTTTTGTAGTCAGAACCATTCCAAATCTCCAATGCTGGATCAGAGCCACATCTCCAAATCATAGAATCCTTAGAGTTGGAAAGGGCCTCCAAGATCAGACTTTGACCAAACACCAGCAGGAGCACTGAGTGCCGTGTCCAGTCGTTCCTTGGGCACCTCCAGGGATGGGGACTCCAACACCGCCCTGGGCAGCCCTTTCCAATGCCTGAATACCTTCTCCATGAAGAAATTCCTCCTGATGTCCAACCTGAACCTTCTCTGGCACAGCTTGAGGCTGTTTCCTCCTGGAGGAAACCTGGGAGAAGAGGCTGGTGCCACCTGCAGTGGTGACACTGGTGTGAGGGACCAGGACAAAAAGGAAACAAAAGGAACAGCAGGATGAGAATTAAACACAGAAGGGTCAGGCTGAGATGTTGGCAGACAGGGTGGCAGACGGCAGAGGGGGGTGGGAAGAGGTGCCTCAGTTTCCCCACAGGCTCTGGCCGCGTTGGGCGGGCGCGGTGTCACCGGCGCCGTGCCGGGCTGGGAGCACTGCGGTAAAATGGCTCCTCACTCCATAACTAGGTCTGGTTGTGGAGAACATGTGGGCCTCGAGGACACGAGCGAGACTTAATGAGGTTTCCAGCATCTGATCTGAGGAACGCACAACTCCAGAAAATATTAAACAAAAGCAAAGTATTTTTATCCCTGTTAATTACAGCGTCGTGGGCCTGAGCTGAAGTGGGTTTCAGCAGGACTTGCAGATGCTCGGCGCTTTTCTGCACCGAGCCACGTTCTTGTCAGTCAGCTCTCTGCTGAGCAGATGCAGTTAATTTAATTTTGACAGGCACCAGCGAAGTTGTGCGAGGGTCCGTCCTCCTCCCCTGCTCCTGCTGCACCGGTTTGCTGGGAAAAGGGAAAATCTTTATGCAGCAAATGGCTGGAATGTAAAGGCTGGACTTGAAAGTTATGAAATCCTGAACTGACAAGAGCACACTTCATTAAAAATTCATCTAAAATAGCCATTATAGAATAGTTGTGGTAATTAGCTGAGAGAATAGTTTTCTCTCCTGGACTCTGATTCCTGACAGTAAGGAAAGAGGGCAAGGAACAACCCAGAATCCCAAATGATGCAGCCCGTGCAGCATCCCGAGCGCAGCCCGGGCACGACGCGCTGCAGCGACGTAAATCACGGCTGCAACGCCGGGAAATTGCAGCGGGATGGAGCAGCTGGCTGGGACTGCAGGGACAGGGACCCGACCCTGCCAGGTCCCCCTTGTCCCTGTGGTGGCCAGGCTGTGCACAGGGAGGATGCTCAGCAGCAAAGAGCTCGTGGAGTTTTAGGAAATGAAGCGGTCGGGGGTGCGCCGGTTATCCATCAGAGCGCTTTGGCTCTTGCAGAGGGATTCAAACAGCTGGACACTGCTGCAAAGCCAGGGTGTGTGTCTTTCTGTGACAAGGCAGGGATTGGTCACAGATTGGATTTGATGGCCTTGGAGGTCTTTTCCAAGCTGAGTGGCTCTGTGGTGGCGCTGCCCCATCCCGAGCCCGGCAGGGTCGGAGCTGAGCCGGGGGAAGGCTGAGCCCCACGCCGGGGGCACTCAGCCTCTGGCCTTTTTTGGCATTAAACTTCCAGCCCCATTTTCCTCACTCTGAACCACAGATGTTTAATTTTAGGCTGGCAGATGTTTCACTCCTGGCTGAGATCTGAGGCGAAGGCAAGATAGGGGTATTTATAAACCAGTAATATTTTTCCTATACTAATTCCAGATTACCTCCCTGTATAAATAGGTCACAAATCAAATGGCTACATTTCAGTACATCGGTATAAATGTACTATTTGGGAAATGTAAACTCTCCCCGTTGGGACTCCGTGATGGATCTATCCCATGGTGCTTGCGTGTGTCCTCTGCTACAGGTTTACATCTGCAGCAGATGCTGCTGATGCTGAGGCTGTGGAGGGAAGGCATTTTTGGGGTGGTCCCACTGCCAGTGGAAAATAGGTTGATGGGAGAGAAATGTTGTCAAAATATTGCTGTTTGAAAAGAGACTTTTGGCCGTGTAGGGAACAGGGGAGAGCCATCCACGTGTTTGCATCTGTGGTGGAGCAGGTGGGGATGGGTTCTCAAGGCAGGGTTTGAGATGTGTGGTTACATTTTGGGACTCTGTAAACATCAATTTTCAGGTGAGGCTCCATCTCTCTGATCTTTCTGTATCTCCAAATGTCATTCCTAAACCAGAAACAGTCGTTTCTTGCCCACAGGAGAGCCCTGATGTTCATGTGCAGTTTGGAGACCCGAACTGGTGGGAATTGGGGTTCATGACTCATTTTGAAGCCCTGGTATTTGGCTCGTTAGGAAATGAGGAGATGTGTGCTGGAGCCAGGTGTGTGCCCTGCAATTCCCAGGCACTCACCTGAGCAGCCCATCCCCAGCAAATCTGGCCCCAAACACCTCAGGTGGGACAAAAAAATCCCAATGTCACCAAACCATCATGGGCTCAGCACTAAGGTGCTGTAAGGCACCTCTGGAGGGGACAGAGTGTTTTAAAAAGGGAAAAGGTGGACACGTGCCCCAGAGCCTGGAGCCATGGAGCACAGACCAATGAGTTTGCTTGAGGCTGTTTCTTCAGCCAAAAAATCCAGGCAAGTGAGTATTTCCTGTTCTGCACCACCTGTTGCAGCTGCAGCATCCAGTTAAGTTATATAAAAGCATATATCCAAATAAATAAAATATTCCAGTGTTTGGCTGGCAGCTCTCGTGGCTTCCTCTGTAATGATTTCCTGCCCCTCTCTGCTGGCTGGGAGCTCCTTTCTTGCTCAGGAACAAAACTGTATTTAACAATACTTCCCATTGTTTGCCCTTTCATTCAAAGGGAAGGAGCTGCTGCCCTCTGAAGATACAAATTAATTAGAAGCGAATACTCTCCTGTTCTCCGGAGCAGAAAGGCCAAACAGAGTGGCTTTCTTTGGAAACATGGGACCAAAGTGGCTCTTGTGTCCTGCTCCTTTACATAACTGATTGCTATCTGCTCAATTGAGGTGCCACTGAAAGCCCCAAACATCTTTTTGTTTGGTATCGTTGGTTTTGTGCTAACGCTTGAATGGAAACAAAGTCCCCCAAAATGATCCATGGCTGTGTTTAATAAGAGATTTATAAACAGTGAGCCAGCAGGACAGATGTAACCAAAATCCAGAAGTGGCTTGAGTTGCACTTGGCCTTTTTAGCTGAATTTTAGTTTGGTTTATGAAGTATTTAATGTCACAGGAAGGAATAGAAACTTCTCCGTGTCTTCTTGTGTAGAAAGTGAAATGTCTTCAGAATCAAAGAATTTCTTCAAGCCAGGACTGTCCCAAACCTGTCCTGAAAAGCTGCTGTTGTTTCAGGGAAGAGGTTTGACACCAAATCCTTCAAGATTTCTTCGTGGAGGGAGAATGAACGCAGTGCTCGTGCTGATCTTTCTCTTCCCTGCCTCGTTAGTGCTACTGTAGGATCCCTTTGGCCCCCAGATTTGGGGTTTTAGGGAATGTTTGCCTGTGGAAGGTGGTAGAGCAGGTGGGTTTGTCCTTGCCCACTGGAACTGTTTCCACTTGGATGTTCTAGGTGTTTAATTTCTTCAGAGACAACAGTCTTGAGGAAGAGTCTTGATGAAAAACAGAGGAGGGTTCAAGGCTGGGGTTTCCTCCTCACAGCAGTATCGGGTCACAGACTGCTCTCAGCTCTGTCTCATTTGATTTCAACTACATTCCCTGGAAACTTGTATCACTTAAAAAATACCTGGAGGCCTCTAATCTGAGAGTCCATGCAGGATTCTGCCTCCCTTCAGCAGCTCCACTGGTTTTTGGTTGCTGATGGGTATTGTGGGTGCCTTTGAGTTGAGTCTTTGGTTAAAGTAAAAATGAAATATTAAAAATTCAATTTTAATAGCCTGGACAGAGCCCTGTGCTGGGGTGGGGTTCTGTAGGTCACATACACAGCTCCTAGGGGGTGTGTATTTAATTTTACCTCTGAGTAAAATTTTGCTTCTGGGAGATGACTGAGATGTCCCTTCCTCCCCTCAAGCCACCCCTGCCTTGCCAGAGCCAAAAATCCAGGGAATGACAGCAGAGCAGGACTGGTTCCTCCATACCCCCTGTGCCTCTGCTTCCAGTTCCTGTAAGCTGGAAAATATCAGTATTTCATTGGATCTGCTTTGCTCACCGCTCTTTAAAAGCCTCAAAATAGAGCTGGTCTTTGAGATTCTCCCTCAGTGGGAGTTGACCCCCATCTCCAGCAGGATCTTGGATCTGGATGCTTGGGAATGCAGGGAATGTTGCAGTTGGGAATGTCAATGGCACAGCTAATGGGGCTGTGATGGCACCAGAGGTTTAAAAACACCCCGTGAGTGAGCTCTTCTGCTGCTGTTGGGTCCTTTCTCCCCGAAGGAAACGCTGCTCTCCCCAAGTAAGGAACATCCCCCTGGTATTCCAGAATCCCTCCTGGCGTTCCTCAGGCCCAGAGGGAGCCGTGAGGGTGGGGATGCTCGCGGAGCCTGCGATAGGATGCCACAGCCCAGCACGGCACCGCGGGCATGTCCTACTTAGAACACTGCTCCCTTTGTCCCCGAGCCATCTCCCTCGGTTACTGCAGCAACAAGTCTGCAAAACTTGTTATTTTATCTGCAGAGAGGAAAAGTGGCCCCCAGAACTCCGGGATAATCGCAGGAAAAGACACCTCTGGAGCAGGAGACATTTTGAGTTCAGAAATGCTCCTTGCTGGGGTTGCTGCTTCTCTCAGTGTTCACAGATATTCAAGCACAGAGCTGGGTTTGGGTTTGCACGTGGCACTTGCCACGTTACCGAATAGTTTTGGGGAAAAAAGGGGCATCATGGTAGAGCTGGGCTTGCAGTTCAGCCCTGGAAGTGTTCCCACCATGTCCTGAATTGATGCACATGGCCAGCCCTCATTGCTGTCAAAACTTGTCATTTTAAGCAATCTGGTGGTCTTGGACTGTAAATGTGCTTTAGAAACCAATTCTCTGTGTGCCCACAATTTACCCAGATTTGTATGCCCAGATTTGGAGGTGCTGGCAGGACTGTCCAGCATTTCCAGCTTTTCCATGTCACTGGCTGCTCCTGGGCAGTGCTGGGCTCTGGAGATGGTGCATCAGAGTGAGTTGGAGAAATCTGGTATTTTGGTTTTGAAGCTACATCTTAATAACACTTTTTGCCTTGTTGGTGGGGGCTTCTCTTGTTACTGAGAGGAAAAGTTGGCCTGCAGAAGGCAGAGGAAGAGAAGGTGGGCTGGAGGTGGCTGGTGGTGCATCTCAGGAGAGGCCTGTGACCTTTCTCAGAACAGAGGTGTCTGCAGGGTCTGGATTTTAACTTCAGCAGGAAAAACCATCAAGAGAAGTAATGATGGAACTGCTGCAGGTGTTCATCAAACTGGGGCAATTTACTGCCTGCTAGAACCCCCCTGGTGAAGTTCCTGCCATCCTTCTGGGGTGTTTGGGGCAGCAGCTCCGTGTGCTGCGCTTGCAGAACGATGCCAGCTGTGCAGAGCTGTCCATTTTCACAAATGATTAACTCAGGAGGACTTAAAGCATAATTAGATTCTAAGAATCCCTCTTGCAGAACCTGAGACTGCCATGGAGGGGGGGACCAGGGGATTTTTCCAAGCTTTCAGGTGGCACCTGCCCCATGGCTGGACGTGGTTGGGTGTCTGGAGGGGGGAATATTTCCAGCTGCTGCATGGAGAAATCAAAGCCTGACCTTCTGTCAGCATGGTGACTGCATGATCAAAATAGCATGATAATAGCATGATAAGCTTTTTTCTAACAGCTTTCCCTTTTAATTTTGAAGTTGCCCAAGAGAAGCCAGAGCAGATCCCACTGGAGAACCGCTCCTGTGTCCTGATCCGACGGGATCTGGTGGCTCTCCCTGCCAGTCTCATCAGCCAGATCGGGTACCGCTGCCACCCAAAGCTCTACTCGGAGGGAGATCCTGGAGAAAAACTCGAGCTTGTTGCAGGTAACTTTTCTTTAGAATCCCTTTGGATTGCTGCTGATTTCCTTCTGGAATTGTCTTCTCCATCTTGCTGGAGTCGTGCATCTTGTGTGCCCTTGCTGTGTCTTTCTGGATTATTCGTCACCAATCGTCTTTTGAAAAGTTCCGAGTTTGCTTTAATTTGCTGATAGAAAAATGTGTCATTAACGGGATTTATTCAATTGAATTAATTTAGCATTTTAATTGAATTCTGCAGCTTGTGTTCTTCCTGCTCGGTGTGGCTGCAGTGAGTGTGTTTTCATTTAGAATCACAGATCTAAAAACCCAACAACCTCCCCCCCATAAATTACCACATTATAAGACTTACAAAGCAAAAGAGATCAAATTTGTGAACAAGCTTTGAAAAACCTGTAAAAGTTTCTTTATAAATTTACTAAGTGGTCAAATGTTGCAGCAAGAGGAGAAGGAATTGGGTTTGGTCCTTTATCCTGTCTTTATTTTCATTTTGTGGGGAATTTACAATACTGAGAGAATTTACTCCTTCTCTATAAAAGATTTCTGGCCAGTGTGAGGTGGAAGATGCTGCTTAGACAGAGTAGAGCTGGATGAGGAGTGAAACCAGCCCAGCACTGCACAGGCACCCCCAGCACTGCACAGGAAGTGTTTAACTGCAGTGACCAGGTCAAATTCTAGTGGAAATAATCATATTCTGCTTTTAGAAGTCCCCCCAGCTTTCCTTTGCAGTGGCCTGGCTGTGTTTTTTTTCCTTTGGATGTAGCAGTGAGGGGATGACAGGGCAGGACATCCCTGCCCCAGGTGGGGAGGTTTAATTGATCCCTGCAAAGCCCTTGGTCCATGGGCATGTGGCAGCACAGCCCATCCAGATCAGCTCTTCTTCCCTTCCAGTCATTTCTCTCTTGGTGAGTAGCATGATTTCATTTCCAGTCTGTAGAAGGAGTCAGGATTTCAGGGGTTGCCCACAAAGGTTTTCAGCTGATGGAGGATGGGACTTCGATGGAAGGCAAAGCACAGCATAGCACCACAAGTATTTATCTTGTATCTGGAATATTCACTTTGTACCCATCCCCATTTAATGTGAGACTTCTTAAAACCATCGAGTGGTGCAGGTTATTTTCACAGTGAGAGCTGTAAATTGGCTTGAGGCAACTCTGCTTGATTTACATTTTTCAATCTGGAAAAAAAAAAAGTAGATTAATATCACTAACTGATAGTGGCTGCCTGGTTATTTTTCATTTATTAAAGTGAAGTTCCCCTCGGTGGTGGCTGGGGTTCTCTCTGGTGCTGTATCTCTTAAAACACAAAATAAACCCCCCTAATTCCTGTCTCAGACCTGGAGGGGGGGTTTGATCCTGCCATGAAAGTTTTTCTCAGCTCTCCAAGTGGGAGTGTTTTCCTTTTGTTTCTGGTTTTTCATGCCACAATTGATTCAGCAAATTTGAGCAGCCCTCTCTGAAAAAGGGTCTTTAACAAGGCTTGCAGTCACCACAGCACGTCTGAGGGAGGGACTGAGGCTGTTACTCCAAAAAAAACCCCAAAAAAACTCATTAGATGGAAGAGAATACAAGGAAAATTCCTGGTGAGATGAGGCTTAGGGTGATGCTGGATCCTGGGGCAGGATGAGTGGCCTGGGGTGCCTCTGGTGCCAGGGGAGGTGCAGAGGGTCAGGCTCAGGAGCTGCCCTGAGCTCCAGCTCCATCCAGAAGGTCAGGGACAATCATCTTCCCTGGAAATCCAGGAGGAGATATTACTTCTCCAGCAGATGTTTTTATATCTTGAGAACAGAGTGTGTTCTGGATCCAGCTATGACCCATTATTTAATCTTAATTAAAAGCAAAAACCAAAACCCTCTCATGTAACAGAATGCTTGAAAAATGGGATAACCTCTCCCTGGAAGCAATGCCGAGGCAGGAGCGGTTTGGTTTGTGAGAAGAGTAAAAAGGTTTGATATAAAACCTGCTGTAAAGTGCTGCCAGACCTCTGAATGTGTCCAGCTGCTTTTTCTTCCAGAAAACATCCTTAAAGGCAGCATGTTGAAAGGCAGCAGTTCCTGTGCATTAGAAGGAAAATCCCCTGCTCACCAGAGGTATCAAGAGGTGGTGGGCTGGGGTTTTGGAAGCAGTTAGATCTGTAACCAAGTACTTCTTTCTGTGCTGGATGGGTTTTTCCTTTCATTTCCAGCTCTGTGTTCTACAGTCTTGCACTGGAAAAAAAGAAAAGGCCAAATGGATGGGGGTTTTCTCGCTTCAGAAAGAATAAATAATCTGGTCTGTACATCTAAAATCACAGTGTAAGCCTTGCACTGTGTGCATTGGTGAGAAAATAAGAGTCCTTTCATTTGATTCCCATAGACTTCCTGTCCGTACAGATAAAATTAGGAGTTGTTATTGCCTGGGACTTGCCAAGGCCCCAAGGATTTGTCAGGATTTTCCAGAAATCCCTCTGTCCTTGTTGCAGCAGGTGAAGAACAGGTTCCCACCAGCGAGGAGGAGCTGTTGGTGGCTCAGGGGTGGCTCTGTGGCTGTGTCAGGGGTTAATTTTGGATTGTCCCTGTCCACCCTCGCAGGCTCAGGCGTTTACATCACCCGGGGGCAGCTGATGAATTGCCATTTATGTGCCGGTGTCAAACACAAGGTCCTGCTGAGACGTCTCCTGGCCACCTTCTTCGATCGGTACGTCCCTTCCCGTGCTCCTCGTGCTCTCCCAAGGGATTCCTCCCCTTCCTCTGCCCTCATCTCCCGGGGTTTAACCCTGTGTCACCAGCGCTTCATCCTCTGCGCCCGGCTCTGTGCGTTTCCTTATTCCATTTCCATGCACCTTTGCCACTCCTCGCCTTCCAGCCTTGCTGATCCCTCCACCAGAAGCTGAGGGGAGGAGGGCAGGGCAGTGTTTGTCCCCTGATCCCCTCTCCAAGGATCTCCCTTTGCCTTCCCCACAGGAACACCCTTGCCAACAGCTGCGGAACTGGAATCCGGTCCTCCACGAGCGATCCCAGCAGGAAGCCCTTGGACAGCAGGGTCCTTAATGCGGTCAAATGTAAGAGAGGGATGTTCTGCTGCTGGGGGGAACAGCATGGCCCGGCCCTGGGCAGGGAGAGACACTCTGTTTGTGATAATGTGGAATTAGGCTGTGGGAAAATCAAGTTACTTTTTAGTTTGCATCATTTTTTGATTGCCCAGAGAAGCTGTGGGTGGGATTTCCTCTCCATCAGCCACTTCCCCTGCAGTCACCTGTGGATACCTGGAGTGTTTTGGGACAGGAGGTGCTGGAGAGGGAGGAGCTGAGGGCTGGAGAAAACCCTGAGGGGTACAGAAAATCTGTTTGCCATGGGCTTCATATGCAGTGATATTTCTATTTCTATTTCTATTTCTATTTCTATTTCTATTTCTATTTCTATTTCTATTTCTATTTCTATTTCTACTTATATTTATATTTATATTTATATTTATATTTATATTTATATTTATATTTATATTTATATTTATATTTATATTTATATTTATATTTATATTTATATTTATATTTATATTTATATTTATATTTATATTTATATTTATATTTATATTTATATTTATATTTATATTTACATTTATATATCATTCTTTATAAAAAGAGCTCACCCTGGCTGAATTGTGCGGAGTAAATCTTTGTGTAACTATTACTCTGCTGAAAAACAAAACTCTAAGCTTTTTACTTTTTTCATTTAGTTTTTAAGATTTGGAAGAGAAATCTTTCCCTTCCCTAACTGTTGAGTCCAGAGGCCTTCCAGCTGCCCTGGGAGATGTGGGGAAAAGGGATAAGAGGGCAGTAATGTGGGTGAACAGGGGGGAGTCAGCTCCCTGGTAGCAGTTTTTTCCTGGAGAGTCCCAACTCTGTCCTTCCCAGCCATGTTCCCTCCTGAGTGGGGCTGGAAGGGTGTTGTTGTTGTTGTGTGCAGGATATGGGATGTGTTCCTACTGCCTGGATTTCTCCCTGTGCACGAGCTTTAGCTGACAGTTATTCACTGTGGCAGTTCCTTGGATGCTGCTCTGTAACGTCAGGCGCTTGGCTCCCGCAGAGGAGCAGGACACGAGGGACTGAGGGCTCCTGCTGGGTGCCAGGGCGTGTGCCAGCAGAGGCATGAGGAGAGGGACAGGCAGAGGACAATCCCTTGGGCAGCCCCTCAGCTCTGACGTTTCCTGCAGCGCTGGGGCTTTTGGAGCCATTCATGCAGCTGCCGCTGGGGACTTTGTGGCATCTTCCTTCACCTCTGGTTTGGCCATCCCCACGTGCTGGGGCTGTGGGTGCTGGCTCTGGGGCTCCCCACGGAGCCATCCCCTTCTCTATCCCCCTCCCTCTGCCAGCTGGGGTGTTCATACCTTCTGCTTTTATCCCTTCCTGGTCATGTCCCCAGCGGAGGAGCTTGGTCCGCGTGAGAGCTCAGGTCCACGGGTGAAGCTCCGCTCCCACCCGCGAGTCTGGGATCACCTTTGTGCCGCTCACCCCGAAGCCTCAGCTCTGTGTCTCCCTGTCTTTGCAGTGTATTGTCAGAATTTTGCCCCGAGCTTTAAGGAGAGCGAGATGAACGTGATCGCGGCCGACATGTGCACCAACGCGCGGCGCGTCCGCAAGCGCTGGCTGCCCAAGATCAAATCCATGCTGCCCGAGGGGATGGAGATGTACCGCACCGTCATGGGCTCCTCCACAAACACTGTCCCCCTGGAGCCCGACTTCCAGCCCAACACTGCTCAGGTCTTCGAGCAGCGCATCTATGCAGAGAGGAGGAGCGACTCGGGGACTATAGTAGCCTTGAGAACTAACACAGTGAATGTAGAGCTGAGCAATGGATCCAACCAGTCCTTCGAGCAGAGCGAGGATGCCGAAGGCGCCGGCTCCGTGATCCAGGAGGCAGCTGCCACAGATGCCATGGCATCGGAAACCCAAAGCACTCCGCAACCTTTTGAACAAGGTTCGGGCTCCTCCAGCCGGCCCGAAACCCCCGTGAGAAGACAAGATGGTACTTATGGAGGGACTTTATAAAGAGAGCAAACATTTCATGACCTATAAGGGATCTGTAATACTAAAGCTGCTTGCATGCATTACTAATACAAAAGAAAAAATGTGATCAAGCCACTTACCTACTGAACTGCTACTGTTGCCTGAAAAAAATGTGATTTTTATTCTGCTTGTATTTAAAATTTATGAAGGAAATAATCGCATTCGTTATACTGTAAACGACTAGGTCTGTGGCGACCTACTTAAAAAAATATTGGGCTCCTTTTTTGATATTCCTGAGGTTAGTCTATAAGATTGTAGCTTTTTTTTTTCCTTTCTTTTCCTTTTTTTTTTTTTCTTTTTTTT